TCTTCAAAATAGATAGCCCCAATTATTTTTAAAAATGATTAGGTTGATCATTTAATCTAGCGCGATACAGAGCCCAGCACAACTCTGAGTCGAACAGCGGCTTGCTCAGGTGTGATGTCCCGTTGGGGTTCCGCAAGCATTTCGTAGCTGTACAAGGCCTGATTAGACACCCATGAAATGGAATTTCCCTCTCTCTTATTATTCAGTATAGCTACGTGGATAGGTGCACTTACCCAACTAAGAACTTCCTTACGGACGAACTTCTCAACAACGGAGGATAGAAATGTATATGCAAATGGGACGCATCAATTTCCTCGTCGGAACCGCATAGCGGTGCTTGATGGATACCCATGCTGTAAGGGAAATGCGTCTCAAACAAGTTATCATATCGTCGTGTGATTTCGGCAATTGACTCAGCTAATAAGAATTTTTCTGCTGTAGTCAGATCAACAAGGGCGCGCCTATGTTTTTTGCTGACTATCATTGTTTCAAACGGCCAGGTCGCCCACCATGGGCAGAGGACCAGGAACAGATCGTTTTCGAATACCACGCGCTCCTGTTTTTGTATCTCAAGGGTGGCATAATCTTGGAGCATGTGTTTGCCGTGATTCTCGTGGCGGTATTTCTGCAATTGGGCAAGCTCTATTGTGAGCTCTTCAGGGAGACAGCTGAGCGCCCAGACCTGCCCGTGTGGGTGTGGATTAGAACAACCCATGGCGGAACCTTTGTTTTCGAATATCTGCATGTAGCGGAGCTGGTGTTTTGGTAGCGATATTTGAGAAATTGGCGACCCTGGTGATATAGGCATGAGAGAAGCCGTTGCTGCTAATAGGGATGTAGGCGATAGGTGTGAGATGTATAGATCCGTCCAAGCATCGATAATAGGCTTGATCTCGGCTGGGGAGAGGTCTGCAAGTGTGCGATTGTGGCTGGCGGAGAATGTAAGGACATAACATCTTCCCGTCACCGGCTCGGCTTGGAGAAATACAGAGGAAATGTCTGCAACGGATTTCCGGCACAAAGGAAATTAATATGCGTAGTCCAGAGGTGTACTTTTTCGAAGCCATATCGTATAAATGATTAATGGACGGGTGATCTACGTACCGCCATCGACTGATTCCCGTTGGTACGCAGCCTGCTCCTCCTTGACCGCACTGTAGTCATTCAAAAATATAAATGTGTTCTTGTATTGTGGATTCTGGTCACCTTGCGCCCGCTTATTTCCAGGGCACAAGTAGCAGGCGGGGTCGTAGACTGGCAACTCGGTTTTGGACGGAGCTTCTTGCTGACCCCTATGGGCAATCATATTAGAGGCAATACTAGAAACATCTACTTCGCCTGTGCTGGGAGCAAAGCTTACTGCCATGGGCGCTTTGTGCGATGCGGGGATACTAGGACGTAAGAACCCCGCAAGATGTTGTATCTTCTATGCGAGATGTCGTCGAGGACGGATTCTACCATTGTGCTGATAGCTACTAGTATTTTCCTCCTCAGAAAGTGCGCAACAAAAGCCAAGTAGATTGCAGGCTGGTGCGGATGAAATGAGGGTGAAGATATTTCAAGCCCGCGATTTGTCGCAGCACTTGATACCTCACACAGCGCAATGACGTTGTTGATTGGCTGAACTGAGACAAAATTGTGAAGACCGAGTTCAACTTTGGAAAGTGGGAAGACTTCATAAAACTAGTTTCAGTGTAAGTTGATAAGCGTTCCAATACTAGTAAGTCGCAGAAAGTGAAAAGATACATGAACATCATTTTGATAGTGACGTAGCTGGATGCTCAAGAGGAGTTTATCGAGCTGACTAAGCCTGCAAATTGAGCTCCAAGCTCTCACAGAGCAACGATTCTCTCTCTTCCAAACGAGGTGCGTATTTTGCGAATTGGCAAGTTAGCCAAAGTCGCCAGCGCCCTAAATCCGGTAATAACCATCGTATCGCCAGCTCCTTCAACAAATTCTTCACCCTTTCCCAATCCGCTTAATTCTCCCTTTAACCCCTGTCTGCCGCCGCACCCACGACATCATTGCGATCCCCATCTATTATCGCCTGAACACCATCATCTCGACTATCGGACCCGGTAACATTCTCCTCGAATCCTACCATCCAGTTTGCAAACCTATACTGCCGTATTTAAAGTATACGTATTTACATGACAAACAACTAGCATGGCCGCCACTCGACGAAGTTCTCGGAGAAAGGATATCTGGGCCGCTTGAGAAATTCGTACACCCACTTTCGTCCTCTCTGTCGGAATGGACCGTGGATTCACACCAACGTGTGCATGATTTCTGCCTCGGGATACGTGCCGGTGGAATCTGTTAACTCAGAACAATCTGATAACGTGTTCATCAGAGGCTTCATTTTCCTTGATGAGAATGAATGAACTATTCTCGCAGCTCATTACGGGTATTTGACTTGGGAGACGGAATCGGCAGATATGTCTTCTGGGTAGCGGTGTTGTAAGGCTTTGGAAAAAGTGGCTAAGGTAATATGTCGAGAAAAGGGAAGTTCGTGGTTAGCATGTCGAGTAGTGGGGTCAGAGATTGTGGTGGTGGGGTGAACTACCATACTTTGAAGGTAGGAAATGAAAATGTCAATAGATGGACACGAGTTTATCCCTCAGAAGACAACAGCGTTGTCTGGCTTAAAAGGAAAACGGGCTGGTCTCAAGTTCCGTTCTTGTCAACAGAGGCGAACGGAAGGGCGGCTGTTTGCAGATGATTCTGGAAGCGATGAGGTTGCAATGATGATAAAAATAATCCAGTCCGTTACGACGTTAAGATTAAAGGTTGGTATTACATTCGTACTTATCTTCGACCCTTTTATTCACGAGGTCTCCTCTCTACCCATCTCTTTCTTCGAATTTGACTTTTTTGATCAAAGCTTCTCGTGTGAACTGCAACTCTTTTGTTAGCGATCGAGAACGGCTGCTACATACAGTGATTTTGTGAGGGTGAACATGGCTGGGACCATGGGTGGTATCCTTTCATTCTCATATATCACCGTATCCATGACCCCCCCCCCCCCCCAAGACAAAACACTTCGGATAGAATAGGCGGCTTGGCTGACGGTTCTGTCACCCTGGACGGAGCTCTTGCCTGTTCAATTTTGTGATGACACAATTGCTTTTCATTTTTTTTCTTTCTTCGTATCACTAGAAATATCCATAAACCTTTACTCAGCGTCATTTGATACCCACAACCAACACTCCCATTGCCCACAGCAGGTGAAACTAAATGGAGTAGCTTTACTTCCTAATTCTCGAATTTAAGCCTCCTTTCACTCTCACAACCCCATATATA